AACCGTGCTGAGTGCAGTTTAKTCTTGGCAGAGTGCTGCTGTTGACAGTTTATTGTCCTTTTGTTTGCATCTTCTCGGCCTCCATCTATCTAGTTTTAGTGCATAGTGGAGATTGCTTTTGTYGCGTTAGTTGCTGTTATTTTACAGCTCTGCTATCATTTGTCCAACTTAAGGGGCTCAGCAGAACGATGCTGAAAAGGAGAATTTGTGTTTAGTCACGCTACGACAGCCGGACTTAATTTCTGTCTTTTCCGGCATTGTGGTGCGGTTTGTCCAACCTTTTGGCCCTGATTTAAATTCTGTTTTCGCCACACAAATGGAGCGGCGAAAGCAGCAGACGTCCTCAAGGGTGCCAGAACCCCACCCATGGAGGTGTAAGTAAGACGAGTGAGCGCGACAGGAGCAAAGCAGCTGCGGGCGACCGGTTCCTCCTGAGGGCGTCTGCAGATGCTGACGCTGACAGATCAAGAGAGTGATTATTCAGAGCTTAAGAGTTGAACGGGGCGTTTGTGTTGGCTGGCTCCCGAGGGAGCAGATTCATTCCAAATCACGCCTCCATAAATCACACTCTCATATTTGGCACAGTTTGAACACAGCAGTTCAGAGCAAAGGTGGTCACACTGATGAAAGAGTGTTTGTCATAAAAGACTAGCACCAGTGACCACCAAGCTGTGCCGCTGAGGCAGCATGAGGAACAAGTGCTGCTACGCTCTGTGGAGGACAACTCATCTTATTTTGATAAAGACATTTCAAATTTGTTTACACAGTTGAATCCCTTTTTGATGTTGCAGTTCGTGTTTGATGAACAGAAAAGTCTGTTTCAACAAGCAATGTTTGTAGTCCAATTTCTGAAATTAAAATAGAACTTTATTCAAAGCCGTTTTTATTGTTTTTTTCCCACTTTTACGTGCATTGTTGTAGTTTGAGTGATCTGTCAAACTCTCTGCTCTCTTTAGACAAAAACACCTGCTCAAAAAAATGACACGTTTATCTTTGATGATGGAAACAAACAGTGTCAGTTGGCATCATGTGGACCGGAGCTAAATGTTTAAATCAAGCTCAAGCTAAATTGTGCATTTTCCTTTTCTTTAATAATACTAAACTATTTGTTCTGCGTATACAGTATGCTCTGCAGGTCTTTTTTGAACAAGCAATTTTTGATTTGATTATATTTTCTTTGCAGATAATAGCGCAGACTTAAAAGGGAACATGCAAAATCCACTTACAGTATTTAGCTGTTAAATGCATTTTGTTGTGGACCTGGAGGTCTATAAGTGCAGAAAAGTTTTATTTAGCTGTTCCTGGTGCTGCAAATATATCTTTATATTCTGTTTTAGTCATGTTTTTTTCAGCCCGTCCTGTTTTCTCTATTTTGTATCACTTTTTCTGAACTATTACATCAAATAATCTGCAGCAGAATTACCATATAAGGTCCGGACTTACCGATTACAATTTCCTCGTCTTAATTCTCCTCTGGTTCTGGGTGAGAATCTGGCTCCAACATGTAAGGCTGGATAGATTAGTTTTCTGTTGTTGACATTTTTCAATTTAATTGTAAATAAAACATTTCTGCATTGCAAGAAAATGTAACGCCCTCTCTCAAACTGGAGCGGACCGGTCTGGAAGCAGGAGTGGGGCGGGGCTTGAAATGTCTTAAATGAACAGCAACAAAATTAGTTTGTTTTGAAACATACATCAGATGGTGAAATAGTGGCTAAGGAGGAATTCAGACCAAAGCATTGTAGTTCCACTTATAGACCCCCAAGGGAATGATTTTAAATGTGAAAAATAAATTATTTAAAAGCTTGTATCCCTGTTAAAGAAAGCCACCCCCTTATGTGGTTCTAAAACACCGTTTTTGTTTTCCAAAGAGGAAAAAATGTAACTAACAAAAAAGTTATAAAGAACTAAGTTGCCCTTCTTCAACCTGCAATGTGTTCTGAGTTTTATAAAAAAAGGAATCATTCAATAAATAAATAAATAAATAAATAAATAAATAAATAAATAAATAAATAAATAAATAAATCAGATTAAACACATCAGATTATGCCATAAATAGCACCATGCAATAATTAAAATTAAAGGTTTTATAGAAATATTGATGCTGGGATGATTTCACATTGTATCAGTAGCAGCACAAATGAATTTTACAGAAGCTTAGTAAACAATGTAGATCCTTGATATTTATTCTGCTTCTGCTGTCAGTTTGACTTCGTAAAACGATTGTTAGTTTAAGCGTTAAACCTGGGAGGAATTCCACTCTTTTAAATATTTCATCATCAAGTGGTTTCGTCCCATCAGTTGTTGGCAAGGAAACAAAGTGTTAACAGCAGAACATTCCTCTGGCACCAAACCCCTACAACAGTTTCACTGCGTTGTCATTCAAAAGCAATTTAGGAAGCAGTAGGATCTCATTATTACACCAATTTAATTCCAATTAGAAGAAATTAATCAAGATATCTTTTTCACAGCGCGCTGGAAAATAACTGGCTGAGAAAGCAACGTGACTGACGTACAGAACTACGTTATATCAGCAAATGATCCTTTTTTTGTCTTATACATATTTGCTTATTTCAAAAGACAAAATGTCAAACAGCTAAATTATATAATTCTTTGACAGCACTTTAAAAAGTCAGTTAAGCATTTAATGTATCTGAAATTGAATTACTTTTTTTCTGTGAAACATTGGATATTTTATTACTGATTTGACGGCATGTTAAATCAATAAAGCTGATCTAGAGAGGGATGGATAACAAAATGAATATCAGTATTCAACAGGTCTTTCATGCATGATCGATGAAACAAATTTTTTTAGTAAAGCTGAAATAAAAATAAAAGAAATAAGAACTCTGCCGGGGTTTATCTGAGTGCTGTTACACTAACATTTGTTAGATTTTATATACGGACATTTTAAAGAATTTTAACCTTTTGCTTCGAAAATTGCATATTTGTCTGATGTTTGTTGTTATGAATAACATATTTTATTTATTTATTTATTTATTTATTTATTTATTTTTATAAAGTCATGCAAACATAGCTAAGCTTGGGTGTGGGTGTAAAATTGAGTTTTGTAGTTTCCATTGTTACAAAAACATTTTTGTGGTCAGCTCCTGTGAGTAGCACAATGTAAGCTCTTGTTCAAGGCTGATGGAACTTTTTATAAAAAAAGGTGTCAGCAATTTTGTTCCATCTCAACCCACATTCTACTTTCCACTTGCTGCATGTGGAAAATTAGGCGCCTGGACTCCTGTCATAGAAAAAAAAAGGCTGATGCTATGAAGTGGTGACTTGCAAGTGCAGTTGTGTTTCACCGCAACCACATCAGCAGACAGATAAATGGGAAATGCTTAAAAATAAAGTTGCTATCCCAAGTCATAATGAAGCTATGAGTGGAATTTATTAGAACGAGCATTTTAGGTTGCTCAACAGCTAAACTCTACGCCAATACCACATCATTACTGCACAACAGAATGCTTCAGCTCAGTTGCAGTATTGACTGGTGCAGAAAGTCATCCCTGTGTACAGAAATAGCTTAAATTAATGATGTAGCAAGTCAGCAATCAGCTCTTGTGCAAGAATGTCAAAGCATGAGCAGCTAATCTTAATGCAACCCAATGGTGAGTTTAATACTACACAGTCTGTCTTCTGCTGCTGGCCACTTGTCCCACCAGCTGCCACCCAACATTTCACTCATATAAATCAGCAGCGGTCCAGTGACATCCTCAATCTRACAATAGCATCAGAGAAATGAGTTTCAGCTTCAAAACGACCAGCTCTGCACAGAGCAGAAGGATGGAGATGAGTTTAAAGTTTAGAGAAAAAAGGTTCTGTAGACTTTTTTTTTTCTGTGTGAAGAAAATATGCTGCAAGAAGACCTTTCAGGCATCGACTGTTGGAACTTCGGCGATRTAAAAGTCAATTGAAACCGTTTTCAGCTCTGATGGGGTTTTCATAGATATCAATATCCACCAGGTCTTGCTCCTTGGGTCTTTGCTTTGCACAGCAAATCTACAGCACATTATATAAACTTCATTTTCTTTTTGTAGATGAAAAGAAAAAAAAAACACATCTTAAGCTGGTGAAATTTATTTTCCAACTGAAGCTATGGATTCTTTCTGTCAAAGTGATTTAATTGATGTGCGTCGAGATAGCTTGAAACCTCATAGTGTTTGTGACTAAAGACTCTGACCACAGGAAAATGCCAGAGAAGCTTGGGCTGTTTTTGATTAAAATCAATAGAGTTTGATTAATAGTCTTTGAAATATCTGTAAAAACCCTTCTATTTACACTTAAAGTGCTTTGTGAAGAAGACAAAGGATGCCTTTGCAGCTGAAGCACTGTGAAGTGAAACAAGTTCATGAACTTGCTGCCAACTAAATATTTGAACAGTGCTATCACCTTACCGTGTCTGTCTTAAAAAAACACTTTTTTAAACTTTTGTTTTAAATCATGCTATGTCCTCAAGTCTTCTAAAAGGAAACCACCCCTCAATGGGAAKAATTACACTTACTCAGGTGTTTGGAAATAAATCCACTGAGACATTAAAAGTTCAGGTAAGCAAAATTCCACAGAAAAAAAAGTTTAGCCTAACTTGCAAGTGAATTCTTTGTAATCGATTGTGTTTAATATGCTCATATTTCTTCTAGCAAATGTCTAGCATCTGTCACAATGTTATTTGAGTAACACGTCCCTTTAGCATTAAAAGCCCAAAATATTGATCAAATGAATCAAGTCCTTGTGAAGCAGAAACTGACCTTGTATTTTCTGTATTGATGTCTGCTACTAGTTTGATTACCTTGTGTTTCTTTGTTCATCTCTCCTTCAGTTCATGAATAAAGCAATCATAGAGGTTAAGTGAATGGCCTTGGATTGGGCTTGATTGCAAGCTTCCAAATAGCTGCAATTTAAATCATTGCCTTTTTTCTCTTTACGACAACTTTTTTTTTAATTTTCTTTTTTTTTAACAAAAGTGTCCTCTCTGTGTGTCTTCCTTGTTCCAGGCCAGTGGGGTCAGTGTATCGGGGAGGATTGTGGTTCTGGTGGGGTTCAGACGAGGACGATATGGTGTGTCCACATGGAGGGCTGGACGACCCATCACTCGCACTGCCAGCACATGGACAAGCCAGAAAGCAAGAGGCAGTGCTTTAAGGTCTGCGACTGGCACCAAGACCTCTTTGAATGGGAGCTCTCTGACTGGGGAGGATGTGTTCTCGTGCCGTTCTTTTCCAACGAGCTCAAGCAGAAGACAACCGAGTGCGTTACGGCGCAGCATGGCATCCAGAAGCGCCACATCCACTGTGTCCGCACTTCGAACCGAAGCACGGTCAGCACGAGGATTTGTGAATTCTTTTCCCAGAAACCACCCATTGAGCAGGCGTGCCTGATCCCCTGCCCTCAGGACTGTGTGGTTTCAGACTTTACCTCTTGGTCAGTTTGCAGCAAAACTTGCGGTGCCGGTTTGCAGCACAGGACTAGACATGTCCTGGCCGCACCGATGTACGGAGGGGCGAATTGTCCAAACCTAACTGAGATCAGGACTTGTACTAACTCTGCTAAATGCCCCGTTGCAGAGGGTGAGTACCAGTACAGCCTTAAAGTGGGGGCTTGGAGTAATTGCCGACTGCCCCATCAAAAAGATGTCCTTTTAAATGGGAGGACCACAGTGGACTTCAGCACAAGCTCCAGTGAGAACAACACAATCACGATGCACACAGTGGCTTCTCACCACCACTCTCATCACAGCCACCACCATCACACACAAGTGCACATTAAATACCCGATGTCGTGGGAACTAGAAGTGGGATACCAGACGCGACAGGTTCGTTGTGCCAGAAGTGATGGCAAGAACGTCATGCTGAGGTAAGGTGTTTTCAGGTCTCTACTTTTCATACAGTTAAAAAGTAATCAACCAGAATAGGAAAGAGGAAATTAAAGTGGAATTGGTAGAGAGGGGTTTAGACAAACATTTTGCCACTTTTTTTAAAAGCATTTTTGGTTATGGTGCCCTTGAGCTAATAAAGACAATGCTAAATTGTCTGTGCGGTAAAATAAAAACATATTTATTTTGATCAGAACAAGAATTAGCTTTTACATTTTAACTTTTGTTAAACTGACTACATGCACAAAGCTACAAATATTAATAAAATCTCAATAAATCGAATATCAGAAAAAGCTTGCAATTTGCAAGTTTATCGTGATGAAGAAATCATGGTGATGATTTTCTTCACTCCTCTCTATGTTCTGTCATATCATCTAAATCAGGGGTTCTTAACCTTTTTGACCTCAGGGCCCAATTTGTTGAACATAAAGGGGCACGAGGCCCAGTCACACATTACCAATGTACGGATCAAAATGATAATTATCTTTGTTTAATTTGTATTGTATTTGCATTATAACTAAATTAAATAAACTTACATTTTAAAAGTAAAACTCCTGTCAAATAATCACAAGACATAACTATGACAAACATTTTTTCATATTGTAACTTGCCCATATTTGAACACACACACACACTGGTCAACAGACCACTCAGGCTTATCAACACAAAAATACATTTTTAACATAAACAATAACAAAATAGACAATTCAATAAAAATTGTGGTCATAAAATAAATACAATCAAAATGTGCAATGGGAATGTTGCAAATAAAAACAGAGTAAAAATAAATTTGATAAATTGCAAATGAAAAATTGCAGTTTATCAAATTTAAACTTTTTAAACTTTTGCATAGTAGAACAAGAAGCTGCTCTTCATATTAGTGACAAACAATAACAGTAACAACAGCTTTTTGACAAGTTTACAGTTTCTCTAAAATACATAATAACAAAATAGACAATTCAATAAAAATTGTGGTCATAAAATAAATACAATCAAAATGTGCAATGGGAATGTTGCAAATAAAAACAGAGTAAAATTAAATTTGATAAATTGCAAATGAAAAATTGCAGTTTATCAAATTTAAACTTTTTAAACTTTTGCATAGTAGAACTAGAAGCTGCTCTTCATATTAGTGACAAACAATAACAGTAACAACAGCTTTTTGACAAGTTTACAGTTTCTCTAAAATACATTCAAAATGTTTAAAAGGAAACTACAAAAATTGATTTGATAAAATGCAAATTAAAATATGGCTGTATCTGCAAATCTATTTGATAAAGTTTTGAACTTTTAAAATATTGCAAGGCAAAAACAGAAGCTACACTTCATATAAGTGAAAATCTTTGGTGTTTTTTGACGAGTTACTTTCATTTTTGCTTCTACTTTTAATTTAAAATAGGTTTCCATTCCTGGCAGGTTTCTAAGGTTCTTCTTCTACGTATTAAAAAAAAGTTGTTAAACATCTGAGTGGCGCACTACTGCTACTAGTGGTGAGAAAGTGTATTGCACCTTATTCAAAATTAATGTAATCCCGTGGCCCTCTGCAGCCCAAAGTTAAAAACTATTGTTCTTTTGAGGTCTTCAAGGTGGCGCTCGCGGCCCATGGGTTAAGAATATCTGATCTAAATCAAGTGTAGACACCAAGGGCMGTGAGTCTGTTGGACTAACTATATTTGCATGCAGAAAGTGAATGTCTACTTGAAACATAAAGGCTTGTGATTTATTGCTGTCCAAGCAGTCCTTTGTGATACTGATATTGCACTCACTGATATTGCAATGATTATACACTTTTTAATATATTGTGCAGCCCTAAAAAGATGCTGCGTCAAAAAAAAAACAAAAAAAAAAACTGTGTATTTGGTCAGGAGGGAAGCTCTGTGCAGAAAATAAATTTTGTCTCCAATTATTTTATTGTTTATCGTTGTGTGGGGAGTGGTTAAAAAGTAACTGCATGCTGGCTGTAACAGCACATGCACCGATGCTCATCCCCTCTCATGATCCCCAGTGGGGCATTTTGTTCATGTGGAGGTGTTTTCAGTGAAACAAAATGCTTTCTATTGATGGTGGTAATTCATTCAATTATAACTAGATTATGTGAGAGCTGGTGTTTCACCGGCATGTTGGCAGGGAGGTGAGGTATTATTGTGTTAAATGTTAAGTGGTGCTCCCCTCAGTMGCTGCTTTTTGAGCTGACCCTGGTATTTGGATTTGATAAGAATGGATTTTGCTGCACACGTTTGAACACAAAGCAGGGACGCGCACACACTTACACACACAGTCTTAAACAACATGTGCTTTTTTTSTCAGCGAAAGAGGAAAATCATTACATCTATATTATGGCCCGTTGTCTAAATGCCACTAAATACCATCTTCTTGGTGTAAAGTGACACCATTATGTGGCTGTTAAAATCAATATCAGACGTCTATCCACAGAGGTTAGAATATTAGGAGGAAAATAAAACATTCTTGGTTGAATTATGCATATTGTTTTATATTGTTTTTAAATTTGGTCATGAGTAGTGCATTCACTCGGAAACCAATATCATGTCCACCTGACCACCTTCATTTATTTATACTGTATATAAATATACACAGACACACAATTAGATATAGACTAGACCAGAAAAAAGAACCTACAAGGTTCAGTGTGTATGTAGGTTCAAGAATAAAGGTTTGATGTTGGAAAACAAAGTATATTTCTATCCTAGATCATGTTCAAGATTATTCAGAAGACATGGTTTTCATTTGTCTTACATTTATTTAAACAGCATCTAAATGACAGCAAGACAGAGCTTCAACATCCAGGGTTTCAAGCAAGTAGGTTTGAATAATGCATCAGCAGCATTGTTTACACTGCGCTGAACAACAACTGAAACAAAAGATACACATCTTAAGTCTCTGATTCAACGTAATGGTTTAAGTGAAAGTTTTTTTTTTCATTCCCTTTAAGGGAAAATACAGTTAAACCATCATCATAATCCAGTTTAGTTTTTAAAATATAAAAAAAGTTGACAAGACTCCAAAATTTGTCCACTAATCTTTTGGTATAAAATGACTCCTGGTGGATTTGCTGAAAAAATGATGGACTTAAAAATTAGACAAGAGAATTGTCTTTTGTAGAGATTGTTTTAAAATGCTTTTGCAGTTCACAGGTTCAAAGTAGGTGCAGACGTTGTGGCCAGAGAGTTGCATATTTCAGACAGTGCAGCCGAAAATTTATTTTCATTAACTGACTGAAGTATTTCACTTAGATCTTTTTAGTTTTTTTCCACGGTTCTCTCTGTCAGTGAGTTACATTAACCCCAAGGCTTTTTTATTCTGAGCATTTCCAGGTAAAAAGAAAAATAATAAAAACGTTGGCAGCAAAAGATCATTCAATGAAGATCAAACTAAAGTAGTCAACAAATGCAAAAGTCTGATTCAGGTGGAAAGTAAGAGATTTGTTGAAGGT